TAACAATGAAAATAATTAAATCTAAAACTATAAGTTAACCTCACAGAGCGTGATTTGAAAATAATGTTTTTGCTTCAACCATTGTATCTGCAAAAATATATTACCTAAAAATTGGTCTGTCTTTAGACTCTGTGCAGCATTTTTATAAGGTACTGAAGAAACTCAAAATAAACTATTAAATATATATGTCTATATATTTAAAGCCGTAAACTTTATTTTATGATTTTTGTGTACAACAATACACTAAAAGATAGCAGTTCCTGAACTTTCTATGTCAAACTGCTGCTAGAATCATTTCAATGAGGACACAAAGGAAAAGATTACAAAATAAAAAAAACTTCATATACAACTTTGAAAGAACTGAACCTGAAAAGAAACTAAAATCTAATTATTTTTTCTTTTATTTCTTGTGTAACCAAGTGATCTCTGAGTCCTTCACTGCTGTCTCAAGGCCACCAGACCGGCGCCAACAAGAAATTGGTTGTATTCATGTAAAATGGGGCAGTATTTCCCATGTGAAAAGCTTTTTATTCTCAGTTTATTGCTCAGGGTTCACTCTTAATCAAAATAATTTCTGTCAAATGCTTAGGGACAAAATCCAAACTCTCTTTTGACAAGATGTCTTGTTCTAAAACAGATCTACACAGCTTAAAAGTGGTTACAGGATGTCTGTCGGGCTAACATTGTGTTTGACAGGAATCCAGCAAAACACAAAGTACACAAATAAATCTTGCATGATGCCAGATTACAGAAACACATCTCCATTTGGTGAAAGTGGGAGAGTCCAGTGGAGTTAACCTGCAAAGAAAAGGAGTTTGCTAAAAACACTGTCGGTGAGCCACTAAACATAAATCCGTCTCAAGCGCAGAGGTGACTGGGCCTTCTCTGTAGCAGGCCCAAGACTTTGGAATGAGTTACCTCTGCTCGTTAGACAGGCCCCCTCCCTCACAGTTTTTAAATCTCGCTTAAAAACACACTTTTATTCCCTGGCTTTCAGCACGGTGTGATCTGTGCTGAGTTTGTGTGCATCACACTGTGTTGCACACAAACACATGTGTTGGTCATGTTGCAGTTGTTGTTGTTATCCATTACTGTTTTTGTTGGTTTCTACGTTTTTGCCGTCCTGTTATGTAATCTGTTGCTATGTGCTTGTTCTGTTTGTCCCTGTACAGCACTTTGGTGTGCTTTGTCACTGTTTAAAGTGCTTTATAAATAAATTGGTATGGTATGGTATAAATCATTTCTGTAAAGTATTTGCCTTAAGGTCTTTATTTATTGACATACTGATTCATTTGACTAACTTTTGTGTTTTTTTTCCTTTTACAAAAAACAAAACAACCATGATATACAATTATTTATTGATTTATTATAAACACTGGTGAGACATAGTTGTTGGTTATGGATCTATAAACACTTTTTAGTTCTGCGAGGTGTTAGGTTTAATATCCTGATTTGTTGACCTACTGACACTGAACTCACAGCAAATGATAATTTGACTGAGATTTCCTGTTTTTCCTTCCTTACACAACAAACAAAACTCAAGAGTGACCACAGAAACGCTGATGAAACAACGAATGCACAACAACACCACCATGTGGCACTATTCTGTAAGTTAAATCATCCATCCATCACTTGACTTTTACCTGCTTCTTTCTTTTTGGGTCATGGGGGGTCATAGTGCCCATATCCAACAGTCACTGTGGGAGAGGTGGGGGACACCCTGGACAGGTCTCCAGTCCATCACAGGGACACATAGAGACAAACGAGACAAACAACCATTCACTCGCTCACTCACACCTAGAGACAATTTAGAGTTACCAATCAGCCAAAAACATGTATGTTTTTGGACTGTGGGAGGAAACCAGAGTACCTGGCGAAAAGCCATGCATGCACGGAGAGATCATGCAAACTCCATCCAGAAAGACTCCCAGACTTGAACCAGGGCGACCTTTTCGCTGAGAGGTGGCAGCTCTACCAACTGCGCCGCCGTGCCGCCCCTGAATGTGAAATTTAGAGAAAAGAAATAGTCTGTTGTTGCTTTATTGATGTTGCTGTTTACAATATTATGTTACATTTTTATACAGAAGTTTATTTATTGTATATTTTCAAGTTTTCTATTGTGTTTTAGGTTTATCTAAAAAAAATTACGTCTGGTCCTCTGGACATTCAAAGAAACAAAACAAAGCAAAACAACAAAAAATGTAGAAACGTTTCGTCTCTCATCCGAGAGACTTCCTCAGTCTGAGGTGCTGTTTTCAGCTCAGTCTCTTAAATAGCACCTTCTCAGAGTGGATCAACCAGTTTTGCTGCTGACAACCAAAACCAGCTGATCACATGCTCAAGAAGGACCATCAGCCTAACAACGGATCATTAGCACACTGATGGCTGTTTACTATTCACAGAGGGCTGAGTGATACTAGCAATAACAGCATTGTAAGAGGGGGACAGTTGAACCCGGAGACCTCCACCCCTGTTTAACGATGGACGATTTCTTTTCACAAAGATGGTCTCCTTTACTCCTCTCACTCTCTCAAACCATCGTTCCTCTCTGTCCAGGATGTGAACATCTTCATCCCTGAAAGAGTGACCGCTGGCCTGGAGATGAGTGTAGACCGCAGAGTCCTGGCCTGATGATGTTGATCTTCTGTGCTGGGCCATCCTTTTGGCCAGTGGCTGTTTAGTTTCCCCGATGTAAGACTGATCACAGCCCTCCTGACACTGAACAGCATACACAATATTACTCTGTTTGTGCCGGGGGACTGGATCTTTGGGATGAACCAGTC